TTATATAACCTGTCGCTTCTGTCAGGCCTAGTTTTGTCTGAAAAGTGTAACATACGTAACAGTAACACAAATCTATTCACTGGTATAATGTCACTAAAAGCAGGGGTTGAAATCAGGTGGTCTGTCGCCCAGTATATGTTGACACTATGCTTATACACATGTGGCAAAGAACAGATACATCTATGCCACAGTTGTGTCCTTCCACTGGTGTAGGCATGATCTTGGTGACAGAATAGTGTTTGCCATGGTGTACTCATAGTATGTATTACTTTCCCTGACAATAATGTCCATCAGGGGTTCATCGAAGAACAACTGAAAGCATTCCAGTTCAGTGGGATTGCTCCCAAGTGTACAGGATGGCCGTATTCCACTTTGTCCTCCATTAAAGTCATGGGGCTTGGGAACAAACTCGTCATTTTGCTGCCAATCCCAGATGCGGTCAGCTGGTGCGTTCTAGATATTGTAATGTGGTTGTGGTTGTGTAGGTTGTGGTTGTGGTTGTGGTTGTGGTTGTGGGAGTGTGGGGTCGGGTGAGGCTGGTTGTAGTTGTGCAGAGTCAGCAGTGCAGGTAGTAGCGTGGCCTGCTGCTGGTGTCACATGACTCATGCCACCATCACTATCACCACCACCGCCTGCTGCCTCACTTGCATCATTGATACCCATCGTAACAATATCGTCATCTTCACTACCAGGACGTGGTGTAGGGCCACGGGATGTGCTCCAAGATGTACTCCTTCCTCTTGGAACAGCATATGGCACACTACCAGACCGCATGCGACGTCGCATATACTGCCGCTTCATTGGGGAATATTCACCCTCACTGTCACAACTAGAACTGCTTTCAATAACCTTGAAATCACTATCACTATCACTTGCACTGCTCACATCTGAGTCTTGTACACGGGCAAATAGTTTCCTCTTTCGTCCTGGTACAGGTGAACATGAACGAGCCGGCCCAGCACCAAAGGTGGAAGGTTGTGGGTCATCTGGGTTTTCATCACTAATTATGTTAATCCTGGGTAATTTTTTCGGTCACACACCGCCTTCAAAACCAGGGAATTCACTTTCACTGACACTATCATCACTGTTTGAGCTATCACTTGGAAACAAAAGACCTCCAATCCACCAAGGAGTGAGGAACTTCTTACCGCGAGGCATGGTGAAAATGGACTACCAAGATGGCGTTCCCACAATGCACCGCTGAGTCCCAGATTTTTTTCACAGGGTGCACACCGACCACTGAGACCCATTCTCTCTCGTGTAGGCCTACCAGCCCTCTCCCGCTTGATTTGAAGCCGCTAGAATTTATGCGTATAGATACGTCAAACATGGTATCTCCCATGACGTATATATACGACCGTGACAGTCAAAGGGTTAATACTGCTTTCTATTTTGAATTTTTATTCATACAAAAAACACAAAATTTACTGTTATGCAGGCTACTGCATTACTGTAGAAATGGTATAAATAATATCAGTGCACTAGTGAAAGAATATCAGACTCCCCAGTTGACATGTATTGGATGTGCAGTGTGATTTGCTTACTCTTGAACATTGGTAAAAATCGAACATTTCCCTTACTTTGTGCTCAATTTCAAGGTCATTTTCATTGTGAAACTAATCAAAATCATCTCTATTTCTACAATATGTTTTCCATTTTATCACGTGAGACCATGAAAACAAGAATACAACGATAAATACTATATGAAAATACACCTCAAAGTCGGCGTTTTTAATCCCCCCCCCCAAAAAAAAAGGTCAGTTTTTTTCTCATTATACAGTGCATGCTGCAGGATTTTTTTTATGTGGTGCACACTGACCACACAGACCCATTCTCTCACATGTGGGCCTACCAGCTTTCTCCTGCTTGATTTGAAGCCGTTTGAATTATTGAGTATATATACGTTTGAAACACTGGCTCGTAAGACGAATATATACAACCAAAACAGTCAAAGGGTTAAAACCCATGTTTCATTCACACCTACATTTGAGTGTTGGTACCACTAAATTCTCATACATTCCTTTTTTCCTCTATGGATATGTTTTTTGTCTTCACAAATGACTCAGTGCACCACTCACCTTTTTTTTCCCTTGTTAATTCTATGGTTCACCTTATCTTTCCTAAACTTGTCTGCTGACAAGTCCACTCCCAAATACCTTAAGACGTTCACTTTTAATTTGCTTCTGTTACATACCCTCCCAAATTCATCCACAAATCTTGGCAACTTTTCCTCAGTATCTCCCTCAAGCAATGTCATTGACAAAAACAACTGTGACAACTCCTATTGTATATTACATTCTTTATCTTTTAATTCCACACCTCTTCAACACTCTTAACATTTACTTCTTTTACAGCCCCATCAATGTATACACGTTAAACAGCCATGGTGAAATTATGCATCCTTAACCCTTTCAGGGTTTCGGCCGTACTAGTACTGCTTATGCACCAGGGTTTTTGGCGTACTAGTATACACCTAAATTGTAGCGCCCTCAAATCTAGTGAGAAAAAGCTGGTAGGCCTACATATGAAAGAATCGGTCTATGTGGTCAGTGTGCGCAGTATAAAAAAAATCCTGCAGCACACAGTGCGTAATGAGAAAAAAAACTTTGACCGTGTTTTTGGATTAAAACAGCGACTTTGCACTATATTTTCGTATGGTATTTATTGTTGTATTCTAGATTTCCTGGCCTCATTCTATAGAATGGAAGACATATTACAGAAATTGAGATGATTTTGACTGATTTTACAATGAAAAGTACTTTGAAATTGAGCTCAAAGTAGCAGAAACGTTCGATTTTTACCAAAGTTCAAAAGTAAACAAATCGTGCTAAGCGTCCAATACACGTCAACTGGTGAGTCTAATATTCCTTCACAAGTGCGCCGATATTATTTATACGATTTTTTACACTAATGCAGCAGTCTGCATAACAGTAAATCTTCTATTTTTTGTGAGAATACAAATTCAGAGTGGAAAGCAAAAGAATGTAAGAGGGGTGTTGGGATGTGACTAATGAACAGAGGAAATGTCATTTTAGTGCCAGGAATGTCTTTCTTGTTTATTCTGGACCCTATTTGGAAATTGGCATCTTTTGAAATTTGTGTGAAACTGGCAAAATTGCTAAATTCTGACCACTGTACTGGATAGGTGAAATCAGTAAATGGGTGGTTTCTTGCACTCATTCGATAGAAAAAAATGGAGTTCTAGGAAATATTCATGATTTTTGTCGACTAGTACAGTGGAATTGGCCGAAAATAGGGCTCAAAGTGGGCAAAATCGCCGATGCATAAATATCGTGAAGACCGCTAACTTCGCGAGAGCATAATTCCATAAGTTTTCCATAAGTTTTGGTGTCATTATGATTGGGAAAAGACTTTATCTTTTCATAAGAAAAAATCATTTTTTTTTTTAAATTTGGGCAACCCTGAGAACAAGTTTCTGAGAGGGCCTGTTGACCCTGAAAGAGTTAAGGCCTACTTTTACTGGAAAATTTCCTTATCTCCTACATACCCTAACCTGAGCCTCACTGTCTTCATCAAAATTCTTAACTCCTTTAACCCTTAAACGGTCCAAACAGATCGACGTTCAAATTCGTAGTGCTCCAACAGTAGATCTACTTTTTTTTACATATTTTCAAATATAACAAAAAAAAAAATGTAGAAAAAAGTTTTTTTACACATTTTCAAATGTAAAACAAAAAAGATCTACATTTTTTTACATACTTTCAGATGTTGAAAAAACGTATATATACATTTGGACCATTTAAGGGTTAAGCAATCTACCACACTGCTTTCCTATCCACTCTACCATATGTCTTTTCTAAATCCATAAATGCAACAAAAACTTCCTTACCTTTATCTAAGTATTGTTTACTTGCATGCTACAATGTAACACTTCGTCTACACACCCCTGACCTTTCCTAAAACCTCCATGTTCATCTGTGATGCATATGTATATTGAAATCACAATGAGTAATATATTTAGCATATTATTTTTTTTTATTATCACACTGGTCGATTCCCACCAAGGCAGGGTGGCCCGAAAAAGAAAAACTTTCACCATCATTCACTCCATCACTGTCTTGCCAGAAGGGTGCTTTACACTACAGTTTTTAAACTGCAACATTAACACCCCTCCTTCAGAGTGCAGGCACTGTACTTCCCATCTCCAGGACTCAAGTCCGGCCTGCCGGTTTCCCTGAATCCCTTCATAAATGTTACTTTGCTCACACTCCAACAGCACGTCAAGTATTAAAAACCATTTGTCTCCATTCACTCCTATCAAACACGCTCACGCATGCCTGCTGGAAGTCCAAGCCCCTCGCACACAAAACATCCTTTACCCCCTCCCTCCAACCTTTCCTAGGCCGACCCCTACCCCGCCTTCCTTCCACTACAGACTGATACACTCTTGAAGTCACTCTGTTTCGCTCCATTCTCTCTACATGTCCAAACCACCTCAACAACCCTTCCTCAGCCCTCTGGACAACAGTTTTGGTAATCCCGTACCTCCTCCTAACTTCCAAACTACGAATTCTCTGCATTATATTCACACCACACATTGCCCTCAGACATGACATCTCCACTGCCTCCAGCCTTCTCGCTGCAACATTCATCACCCACGCTTCACACCCATATAAGAGCGTTGGTAAAACTATACTCTCATACATTCCCCTCTTTGCCTCCAAGGACAAAGTTCTTTGTCTCCACAGACTCCTAAGTGCACCACTCACTCTTTTTCCCTCATCAATTCTATGATTCACCTCATCTTTCATAGACCCATCCGCTGACACGTCCACTCCCAAATATCTGAATACGTTCACATATCAAGGCATATTTTTACTAGTAGCATCTTTAAGGCATATTTACTGCTTGCATATGCTCTTAAAAGTTGTGCAAAACATCTGTCATTTACAACTACATACTTGATGATAATATACAGCTACACTAATGTGTCTAATGGAGGCAAACAGATATACAGAAGGGCATGGTTTCTGGCTCACCTGTGCTAACACCAGTTGTAATCTTGTCAACAACACCCTCTTCCTCATTCCGCAAATCAGTTAGCTCATTAATTAAAGCCAACAAGTCAGCCTCCATTGTTTTGGTGACATTACTAGGGAGCTGAAGCACTACTGCTCGCTCTGCAAATATTATACACAAAATATTATACACAAAAACAAAAAATTGGTATATGAATCTATAATACATAACAGATTTTACTGCACATGACGTTTATCTACTACTGTAGTAGGTTGGTAGACAGCAATGATCCAGGGAGGTACTACCGTCCTGCCAGGTGACTGTGAAACAGAAACCTGTAACCGTTTTACATGATGGTAGGATTGCTAGTGTCTTTTTCTGTCTCATAAACACACTGGATAATGGGTATATATTGCTACTTCTACTTACATTTAGGTCACACTACACAGGCATGCACATGCATATATATGCATACACACATATAGGGTTTTTCTTCTTTTTCTTATTAGCTCTTGTTCTTGTTTTTTTTCTCTCTATTGTCCATGGGGAAGTGGAAAAGAATCCTCCATAAGCCATGCGTGTCATATGAGGAGACTAAAATACCGGGAGCAACGGGCTAGTAACCCCTTGTCCTGTACACATTTACTAAAAATGAGAAGAAAAACTTTGTAAAACTGGGATGCTTGAATGTGCGTGGTTGTAGTGCGGATGATAAGAAAGAGATGACTGCTGATGCTATGAATGGAAAGTTGGATGTGCGGGCCCTAAATGAAACAAAGCTGAAGGGGGTAAGTGAGTTTAAGTGGGGAGAAATAAATGGAATTAAGTCAGGAATATCTGAGAGAATTAGAGCTAAGGAAGGGGTAGCAATAATGTTGAAGGACCTGTTATGGAAGGAGAAGAGGGTAAATATAAATGTGTAAATTCAAGGATTATGTGGATTAAAATAAGGGTCGGGTGTGAAAAGTGGGTCATAATAAGGGTGTACGCACCTGGAGAAGAGAGGAGTGTACAGGACAGAGTTTATGGGAGATGTTAAGGGAATGTATAGGAACCTTTGACCCAAGTGAGAGAGTAATTGTGGTAGAGGACCTAAATGCTGAAGCAGGAGAAACATTTAGAGAGGGTGTGGTAGGTAAGTTTGGGGTGCCAGTGTAAATGAAAATGGGAACCCTTTGATTGAACTTTGTATAGAAAGGGGTTTAGTTATAGGTAATACATATTTTAAGAAAAAGAGGATAAATAAGTATACAAGATATGATGTAGGGCATAATAACAGTAGTTTGTTGGATTATGTATTGGTAGGTAAAAGACTGTTGAGTAGACTTCAGGATGTACATGTTTATAGAGGGGCCACAGATATATCAGATCACTTTCTAGTTGTAGCTACACTGAGAGTAAATGGTAGACGGGATACAAGGAGAATAGAAGCATCAGGGAAGAGAGAGGTGAAGGTTTATAAACTAAAAGAAGAGGTAGTTAGGGTAAGATATAAACAACTATTGGAGGATAGATGGGAAAGCGAGAGTATAGGCAATGGGGTCAAAGATGTATGTGGTAGGTTTAAGAATGTAGAGTTAGTGTGTTCAGCAGAAGTTTGTGGTTACATGAAAGTGGGTGCGGGAGGGAAGAAGAGTGATAGGTGGAATGATGATGTAGAGAGTAGTAAGGGAGAAAAAGTTAGCATATGAGAGGTTTTTACAAAATAGAAGTGATGCAAGAAGGGAAGCGTATATGGAGAAAAAAAGAGGTTAACAGAGTTGTGAAGCAATATAAAAAGAGAGCAAATGAGAAAGTGGGTGAGATGTTATCAACAAATTTTGTTGAAAATAAGAAAAAGTTTTGGAGTGAGATTAATAAGTTGAGGAAGTCTAGGGAATAAATGGATTTGACAGTTAAAAATAGGAGAGGAGAGTTATTAAATGGAGACTTAGAGGTATCAGGAAGATGGAGGGAATATTTTGAGGAATTGTTAAATGTTGATGAGGATAAAGAAGCTGTGATTTTGTGTACAGGGCAAGGATGAATAACATCCTGTAGGAGTGAGGAAGAGCCAGTTGTGAGTGTGGGGGAAGTTCGTGAGACAGTGGGTAGAATGAAAGGGGGTAAGGCAGCTGGGATTGATGGGATAAAGATAGAAATGTTAAAAGCAGGTGGGGATATAGTTCTGGAGTGGTTGGTGCTATTATCTAATATATGTATGGAAGAGGGTAAGGTACCTAGGGATTGGCAGAGAGCATGCATATTCCTTTGTATAAAGGCAAATAGGATAAAAGAGTGCAAAAATTATAGGGGAAGAAGTCTGTTAAGTTATAGGTAGTAGGTTGGTAGACAGCAACCGCCCAGAGAGGTACTACCGTCCTGCCAAACGAGCGTAAAACGAAAGCCTGTAATTGTTTTACATGATGGTAGGATTGCTGGTGTCCATTTTTCTCTCTCATAAACATGCAAGGTTTCACGTACATCTTGCTACTTCTACTTACACTTAGGTCACACTACACATACATGTACAAGCATATATATACACACCCCTCTGGATTTTCTTCTATTTTCTTACTAGTTCTTGTTTTTGTTTATTTCCTCTTACCTCCATGGGGAAGTGGAACAGAATTCTTCCTCCGTAAGCCATGCGTGATGTAAGAGGCGACTAAAATGCAGGGAGCAAGGGTCTAGTAACCCCTTCTCCTGTATATATTACTAAATGTAAAAGGAGAAGCTTTTGTTTTTCCTTTTGGGCCACCCTGCCTCGGTGGGATACAGCCGGTGTGTTGGAAGAAAGAAAGTCTGTTAAGTATACCTGGTAAAGTGTATGGTACAGTTACTACTGAGACAATTAAGAGTAAGATGGAGAGTAGGATAGCAGATGAACAAGGAAGCTTCAGGAAAGGTAGGGGGTGTGTAGACCAAGTGTTTACAGTGAAATGTATAGGTGAACAGTATTTAGATAAGGCTAAAGAGGTTTTTGTGGCATTTATGGATATGGAAAAGGCATATGACAGGGTGGATAGGGGAGCAATTTGGCAGATGCTGCAGGTGTATGGTATAGGAGGTAGGTTACTGAAAGCAATGAAGAGTTTCTACAAGGATACTGAGGCTCAGGTTAGACTATGTAGGGGAGAGGGAGATTATTTCCCAGTAAAAGTAGGCCTTTGACAAGGATGTGTGATGTCACCATGGTTGTTCAGTATATTTATAGATGGGGTTGTAAGAGAAGTAAAAGCGAGGGTCTTGGCAAGAGGTGTGGAGTTAAAAGATAAAGAATCAAACACAAAGTGGGAGTTATCACAGTTGCTCTTTGCTGATGACACTGTGCTTTTGGGAGATTCTGAAGAGAAGTTGCAGAGGTTGGTGGATGAATTTGGTAGGGTATGTAAAAGAACAAAATTAAAAACTTCCAGCAAGCATGTGTGAGTGTATTTGATAGAAGTGAATGGAGACAAATGGTTTTTAATACTTGACATGCTGTTGGAGTGTGAGCAAAGTAACATTTATGAAGGGACTCTGGGAAACCGGCAGGCCGGACTGGAGTCCTGGAGATGATAAGTACAGTGTCTACACTCTGAAGGAGGGGTGTTAATGTTGCAGTTTTATAACTGTAGTGTAAAGCACCCCTCTGGGAAGACAGTGATGGAGTGAATGATGATGATAGTTTTCTTTTTCAGGCCACCCTGCCCTGGTGGGAGTCGGCCGATGTGTTAATAACAATAATAATAATAATAATGTCGACCATCACAAATTTGGCACGATCGGCGCTTGTAGGGTGCCAGAATAGTGATTTTGCCGGGTTACAGAGTGATTAGGTTAGAATACATTAACTCATCGGCGATATTTATGCATCGGCAATTTCACCCACTTTTAGACCTACTTTTTGCCCATTACATTGTTCCAGTTTACCAAACTAGAGCTCAAAGTATTCAATTTTTGCCGATGTTCAAGAGTAAACAAATGACATCACCGTTCAATACGTGTCCAACTGGCCAGTCTAATACACAGTCATGAATGGGTTGACATTATTTATATAATTATTGCAATAATGCAGTAGTCTGCATATCAGTAAATCTTTTATTTTTTGTGTGAATAAAAATTCAAAATGGAAAGCAAAAGTTATATAAGAGGCCTGGAGACGTGACTAATGAAGAGAGAAAATGTTACGTATCTTATTGCCAGGAACCTCTGCATTGTTCATTCTGTGAACCCTATTTTGAAATTGGCATCATTTGAAATTTGTGTGAAATTGGCCAAATTGCCAATTTCTGACCACTATATTGGGTAGTTGAAATCTGTAAATGGGCGGTTTCTTGTACTCAATTGACAGAACAAATGGCATTCTAGTGAAATAGCTATGAGTTTGGTTGACTGGAACAATGGAATTGGCCGAAAATAGGGCTCAAAGTGGACGAATTCAATGATGTGTATATGTAGCCGAGGCTGCTAACTTCGCAAGAGCATAATTCCATAAATTTTCCATCAAATTTCTTACTTTTGGTGTCATTACCATCGGAAAAAGATTCTCTATTATTTTATAAGAATTTTTTTTTTTTAATTCTTTGACATTGAGAGCAAGTTTGCGAGCAGCTATCTCGACAGTGGAAGGGTTAATGGACAATGTATGGTGTATGTGCTTTACACAACAAGAAGCATTTGTTTTATTCATTGGAACCATGGCTAGGGCTGAAAGTGAGCAGGTTATAACAATAAATGGAGAAAAAGAAATTGGAATGACTTATGCAGCAAGTAGCTCCACCTAACAGTAGAGATAGGTCGGTGTGGTAACCCTGGAAATTTGAAATTATGCTAGCCAAAATTATTGCCGGATTACTGATGGAATTGGATTACTGACTGCCAGATTAGTGATGGCTGACCTGTATATACATAACTTTTAAAAGTTGAAGGACTTCTATAGCATGTTTCCTGTTGGGCCCCAACTGAATATGCAAGATCTATTAACCCTTTCAGGGTCCAAAGGCCAAATTTCAAAGTGCACACCAGTGTCCAAGAATTTTCAAAAAATAATTTTGTTATTTTTTCTTATGAAATGGTAGAAAATCTTCTCCTACAGGTAATAAAACAAAACGTATGAAATTTGATGGAAAACTGATGAAATTATGCTCTCGTGAATTTTGATGTGTCAGCGATATTTACGCATCGGCGATTTTTGCCGACTTTGACTCCCATTTTAGGCCAATTATATGACTCCAGTCGACCAAATTCTTAGCTATTTTGCTAGTATTACTTCTATTCTATCGATTGAGCACAAGAAATTGCCAAATCAACTGTTTCAACTACAAAATAAAATGATCAGAAATTGGAAATTTGGCCAATTTAATGCAAAGTTCAAAATATTCTAATTTCAAAATAGGGTCCAGAATAATCAATGCAGGCATTCCTGGAACTAAACTAACATTTCCTCTGTTCATCAGTCATGTTTTCAGACTTTACAAATGAATTCCACTTTGATTTTTTATTCACATGATGAATTTTTATTCAAACCAAAAAATAGAAGATGTACTGTTATGCAATACTGTAATAATTGTATAAATAATATCACCACATTTGTGAACGCATATCAGACCCACCAGCAGGCGTGTATTAGACACGTGGGATCATTTGTTTACTCTTGTACATCGGCAAAAATTTAACATTTCTGCTATTTTGAGCTCAGTCTCTACCCATTTCCAGTACTAAAACCAATCAAAATCATCTCTATTTCTGTAATATATTTTCCATTCTATCAAATGATACCAAGAAATCACAAATACAACTATAAAAAACATACGAAAAAACACTGCAAAGTCGTTTTTTTAATAAAAAATTACGGTCTTAGTTTTTTTCTCTCATTATGCACTGTGCTGCAGGATTTGTTTTGTGGTGCACACATACCACATAGATGTATTCTCTCATATCTAGGCCCAAATTTACCGCTCACAGCTTATCAGAGTGAGCTGTGCTCATGGCGCAGAACTACGGTTTGGACCCTCAAAGGGTTAAAGCCCTAATAATCTAAAACTCCCAGAAAAAGTCTCGGTGCTCAGTTAACTCCTCATTTACCTCCACTTTCAGTGACCTTTTGTTTGGAGATGCTTACGCACCAGCTGTGGCCTAAAAAATCCCATCAATTCAAGTTGGTAACCAGAAACAACAGCTGGAGGATAAGGTAAAATACCAAGGATTCCCATGATGCAGTTTTCACATATCAGTTTTCCACTGTGTGTGTGTGCTACATTGTGAATCTGTTCATGCTTTCAGGTCTCAGATAAAAGCACATCTCTTTTCTAAAGCTTATGATTCAGATGATCATATTGTCACATTTGAATGCAAGCTTTAATATTTCATCCTCACACTCCAAGGTTGGAGAGCGAGCACTTATAAATTTCTTAAAAGAACAGGAACTCATGTATAACAGAATTCCAAATTGTTTAAATTCAACAGCCATTTCTTGCCAAGACAGGGTGAAACACATTCATCATTCATTCATTCATTACTATTATTATTAGCCAGACTGTTCAGGCTGATTGTGTCAGTGGTAGAGGAAATTCATGGTGTGTCAGTGCAAATTGGTCTGATGCATTTTAGTGTCAAGATGATAGATGATTTAATCAACTGTTTACTGTAACTGTTCCATTAAATCTATTATAGCTTAGATAATCTTAAGTTAATTTTAAGCCTGCCCATAATGCTCTGCATACAAGGAGCTTTTGACATGTACACCCAACTACTATAATACCTTGTACAACTATGTATCATGTCCTAATAAACTATTATTATTATTATTATTATTATTATATTATAGGTATTATTATTATTATTATATTATAGGTAGTAGGTTGGTAGACAGCGACCACCCAGGGAAGTACTACCGTCCTGCCAGATGACTGTGAAACAGAAACCTGTAACTGTTTTGCATGATGGTAGGATTGCTGGTTTCTTTTTCTGTCTCAAACACGCTAGATAACAGGGATACCTTGCTACTCCTACCTACACTTTGGTCACACTTCACAGACACGTACATGCATATATATATATACATACATCTAGGTTTTTCTCCTTTCTCTAAATAGCTCTTGTTCTTCTTTATTTCTTCTATTGTCCATGGGGAAGTGGAAAAGAATCTTTCCTCCGTAAGCCATGCGTGTCGTATGAGGCGACTAAAATGCCGGGAGCAATGGGCTAGTAACCCCTTCTCCTGTAGACATTTACTAAAAAAGAGAAGAAGAAAAACTTTATAAAACTGGGATGCTTGAATGTGCGTGGATGTAGTGCGGATGACAAGAAACAGATGATTGCTGATGTTATGAATGAAAAGAAGTTGGATGTCCTGGCCCTAAGCGAAACAAAGCTGAAGGGGGTAGGGGAGTTTCGGTGGGGGGAAATTAATGGGATTAAATCTGGAGTATCTGAGAGAGTTAGAGCAAAGGAAGGGGTAGCAGTAATGTTGAAGGATCAGTTATAGAAGGAGAAAAAGAGAATATGAATGTGTAAATTCAAGAATTATGTGGATTAAAGTAAAGGTTGGATGCGAAAAGTGGATCATAATAAGCGTGTAAGCACCTGGAGAAGAGAGGAATGTAGAGGAGAGAGAGAGAGATTTTGGGAGATGTTAAGTGAATGTATAGGAGCCTTTGAACCAAGTGAGAGAGTAATTGTGGTAGGGGATCTGAATGCTAAAGTAGGAGAAACTTTTAGAGAGGGTGTGGTAGGTAAGTTTGGGGTGCCAGGTGTAAATGATAATGGGAGCCCTTTGATTGAACTTTGTATAGAAAGGGGTTTAGTTATAGGTAATACATATTTTAAGAAAAAGAGGATAAATAAGTATACAAGATATGATGTAGGGCGAAATGACAGTAGTTTGTTGGATTATGTATTGGTAGATAAAAGACTGTTGAGTAGACTTCAGGATGTACAGGTTTATAGAGGGGCCACAGATATGTCAGATCACTTTCTAGTTGTAGCTACACTGAGAGTAAAACGTAGATGGGATACAAGGAGAATAGAAGCATCAGGGAAGAGAGAGGTGAAGGTTTATAAACTAAAAGAGGAGGCAGTTAGGGTAAGATATAAACAGCTATTGGAGGATAGATAGGCTAATGAGAGCATAGGCAATGGGGTCGAAGAGGTATGGGGTAGGTTTAAAAATGTAGTGTTAGAGTGTTCAGCAGAAGTTTGTGGTTACAGGAAAGTGGGTGCGGGAGGGAAGAGGAGCGATTGGTGGAATGATGATGTAAAGAGAGTAGTAAGGGAGAAGTTTTTACAAAGTAGAAGTGATGCAAGGAGGGAAGAGTATATGGAGAAAAAGAGAGGTTAAGAGAGTGGTGAAGCAATGTAAAAAGAGAGCAAATGAGAGAGTGGAGTCAGCGGATGGGTCTATGAAAGATGAGGTGAATCATAGAATTGATGAGGGGAAAAGGGTGAGTGGTACACTTAGGAGTCTGTGGAGACAAAGAACTTTGTCCTTGGAGGCAAAGAGGGGAATGTATGAGAGTATAGTTTTACCAACGCTCTTATATGGGTGTGAAGCATGGGTGATGAATGTTGCAGCGAGGAGAAGGCTGGAGGCAGTGGAGATGTCATGTCTGAGGGCAATGTGTGGTGTGAATATAATGCAGAGAATTCGTAGTTTGGAAGTTAGGAGGAGGTGCGGGATTACCAAAACTGTTGTCCAGAGGGCTGAGGAAGGGTTGTTGAGTGGTTTGGACATGTAGAGAGAATGGAGCGAAACAGAGTGACTTCAAGAGTGTATCAGTCTGTAGCGGAAGGAAGGCGGGGTAGGGGTCGGCCTAGGAAAGGTTGGAGGGAGGGGGTAAAGGAGGTTTTGTGTGCGAGGGGCTTGGACTTCCAGCAGGCATGCGTGAGCGTGTTTGATAGGAGTGAATGGAGACAAATGGTTTTTAATACTTGACGTGCTGTTGGAGTGTGAGCAAAGTAACATTTATGAAGGGATTCAGGGAAACCGGCAGGCCGGGCTTGAGTCCTGGAGATGGGAAGTACAGTGGACCCCCGCATAACGATCACCTCCGAATGCGACCAATTATGTAAGTGTATTTATGTAAGTGCGTTTGTACGTGTATGTTTGGGGGTCTGAAATGGACTAATCTACTTCACAATATTCCTTATGGGAACAAATTCGGTCAGTACTGGCACCTGAACATACTTCTGGAGTGAAAAAATATCGTTAACCGGGGGTCCACTGTATAGTGCCTGCACTTTGAAGGAGGGGTGTTAATGTTGCAGTTTAAAAACTGTAGTGTAAAGCACCCTTCTGGCAAGACAGTGATGGAGTGAATGATGGTGAAAGTTTTTCTTTTTCAGGCCACCCTGCCTTGGTGGGAAACGGCCAGTGTGATAATAAAAAAAAAAATATTATATTATTATTATTATTATTATTATTATTATTATTACAATAGTACGTGATGAATAGCCGAAGGCAAAGTATGCAGCCATAGAGAGAACACAGTTTTTTGGGAGTAAAAAGAGATACTGTATGTATATTGTCATTTTAACATGCTTGTCCCTGCTGCTTAGGTAAATTAAGTTTATTAACCCTTTCACCGTCAGTCCCGTAATATTATGGCTTGAGAGCCAGTGTCGATCCTGTAATACTACGCCAAAATTCTAGCAGCTTCAACTCTAGCAGGAGAAAGCTGGTAAGCCTGCATGTGAGAGACTGGATCTGCCTGGTCAGTATAAAAAAATCATGGAGCCAATTGTGCACTGTGGGAATGCCATTTCAGTACACCTTGTTTCCCATGCCTCACAGTAAGAAATACCTCACTCCCTGGCAAACTGGAACTCTTCTTTTCCCAAGTGACAGTTCTAACACAGATGAAAGTGTCAGTGAAGATGAATTTCATGGTTTTGAGGAGTTTGTGACCAAAAGCAATGTTCAGGAAACCAGAAGACAGAAAGAAAGAAAAAGAAAAAAGGAAAAGAAAGATGAGAGGAAGGAAGAAACAAATGAAGAAGTAAGGAAGGAAGGATGGCCCAGATGCCCATCAACCTAGGATAACCCAAAAAAGTCAGACAAAATGACATATTTCTATGTGGATGATGAGGAACACAGCATGATTGTTGAGGAAGAGGGTGTGGGTAATGGGTGGTGGTGATTTTGTAATGAGTCATTGTGACACCAGCCACACCGCTCTCAGCACCCACAACAAAAGCCAAACACACAGCAATCATCCACTAGCTGTAGCAGTTCTAGGAACGTGTCCAGTGACTATATATATGTATATGTATTATAGAACAATAGTAATAAACAACCTTTTTTATTGTTGGTTTGTGTAAACAGGTTTTGTAAACACTGTAATAATGATAATATTTGTGCGGTTATTGTGTCGCATACAATGAGTGGATATATATACATTACACATTATATTGGTATCACAGGCCACAAAAGTTACTTGAAAAATTAAAACATTAAAATATAAAAAAACAAATACAATGTAAGTAAAAATAATATTACCGAGTGAGTGGCAGTCGGCGATGTTGCCATAAGCGGTTCACTTTGTCAACTTCACACCTCTATATCTCAGTAAGTTCTGATCGCAAAAATTTTTGTTTCAAAACTCTCAAAAATATTAAGACTTTGGTAAGAAAATGTTTTTTTTTTTTCGAATATTTTTCGACACAGAGCAAGAGTTTAGAAACAGAGTTCCCGACAATGAAAGGGTTAAGGTTTTCACATTTTGTGATTAAAGCTTTGTCCAAGTCAATAAACTGTCTAACTGGGTATTCTTCTGAATTGCTCCATGATTCCGTCTAGCATTTTAAGCATATTTTAAGTGCATTTAAAATTTTTTTGAGGTCTGAAATCAAATACTAACACAGGGCCCCGTTTTAACGGATTTGTTTTACGGCCCCCCGTAATAGGGAAATTTAAAATAGCCCAAAACCGCTCTACGGGCCCCCCTCACCGTCTTTCAAATACGGTCACAGGGGCCCACCGAGTTTTTTTACATTCCCCGAGCACATCTCTTATTTTGTTGGAAACTTTCCAAAATTTTTAGTGTTTTAAATTATTTTATATTTTAATGTATTGTACTTTATAATAAACTTGTGTACCCTGCACCAAATAAAAATTCACACTGTGCGGCATGTAGGGACACATAAATCACTAAGATCTCTTACTCTTCAGCATAATAATAATAATAATAAAAAATAATAATAAAAATAATAAATAAAAATAAAAATCCTTTGGGGGGCCCTTAATGTCGCATATTACTTTAAAATAGAATTTCCCCTTAATCTATTATGATATTTTTTTCAAAAAATATAAGAAACACTTATTAAAAACACAAACTATACTGCACCCCATTAAAAATTTATCAATAATATGAGATTTTACCGAACGGGGTTTTTAGAAGTGTGGAAAAAATTCGTTTCTCTACCCGTCACCTGTTACTAGGGATAACTGTAGAAAAAAAATTCCTTTTCGTTGCCTTCACTTTTTAGCTTAAAAAACTGTACTAAATTTTTACACAGTGTAAGAATTTTTTGTGATTTTATAATAAAATTTAAAAAAATTATAAAGGGAAAAGTTTCACAAACCTTACAAATGTACATGAAGAACAAAACTGGACCACGTTTTAAAACCGCTATTTTTCCTGACCGAGTGATCGTCCACAACCTGTTCATTTGTTTTTTTTATGCTGTCTGAGCTCGGTGTACATTAATTTATATTACGTTAATTTCACATTTTTATTAATCCCTTTCCCTGAATTTTTTTCAAATTATATAAAAAAACACGTACATAAAATAAAACATAAAAAACATATGGAGAGAACCTAGGTAAACCCCAAAAAAATCAGAGTGACTTACTTCCATTGCCTTCATCAGGCATCATTTTTCCAAAAGATGTTACATGAGAATGGGAGTGTTCTTCTTTATTTATTCTACCGTATCAATGTAGAGACAACCTGTACACAATGTAACTTGTACACAAACCAGACGTGTACACTGTTTACAAAATTTACCTTCGCCTGTTTGTTTACATAACTCGCACTGTCCTCTCTCATGCACTCATTCTTTCTCTCTGGTATGGTAGCCTGGCTGACTACCATACATACCACACTTGATTTTTTACAATAAATACTACTCATCTCACCCTATATTTTAAGGTAAGTAATGAGTGAACTGTATATACATTTTATCGCTCTGGGATGCTTAAATATCATAGAATAGTATGTGTGGGTGGGGTGGCCTGGTATGGTAGCCTGGCTGACTACCATACATACCACACTTGATTTCTTAAAATAAATACTACTTGTCTCACCCTAGATTAAGACTATAAATATTTTAAGGTAAGTAATGAGTGCACTATGTGTGTATTGTACTTTTTTATTGTTTTATGATGCCTGATTCTATTGCTAACATAATATATGTTAGTGTAAACTTGTTATCTAGTGTTTGTATACATTTGTAAGTGGAAAAAAAGGGTGTTCCACTTTACGGCGGTTTCCGCTTTATGGCGGTAGCCTGGAACCTAACCCGCCGTATAAGTGGGGCCCTCCTGTAGTTCCAAATATGACATTCAGTTATGCTGCCATATAAATCCTCAAGGAATATTTTTAAATAGAACATTTGGAGAATCATGGCACCAATACTCTGAAGTAAAAATAAAAGGGCTTACTGGAACCAGTAGTCTTGTCTTGAAAGATGTAAACATTCCCAGATGAGTGGAGAACATAGGTGGTCTTGCCTGTAAGTTCAAGTTGCCAGCAGCCAGGTACCTCTACCATTCCCATTAAGTTACTGTCATCTGTACAAGGAGTACCACCTAGAATAAAAAGAGACAGATCTTAGATGAATTAAATGAAGTTCAAAAGCAGCAAGGTCAACTAAAACTTCAAGCAGAAGGTTTATTGCATGTGACATGAATCTTGTTTACTATTAACTTTTACTTGAATGACTATTTGAGCAAGACAAGTAGAATCATAGTACAATGAACCCCTGGTTTTCAGCCAGTGTGGAAATCAGCCAATTTGGAAATCAAGCACTATTTTTGGCAAAATTCCCCCCCCCCCAGATTTTGTGCATCCACTCGGAAATTGTTGATACCAGAGGCGTTCACCTGGGCCACTCATACATTCGTGACTCACTCTTGGGCACATTGTCTTATTTTAGGTTAATAAAGACATTTTCATTAACCAATCTATGATATTTTCAAAATTATACAAGAAATATGTTACATAGCATATAGCATATAAACTTAACATATACACATTGCATGTTTATGTGCTATCAAGTGGTGAATCGGGTGGAGGGTAAACATTACATTTTCTCTCGTCGAGCATTAGAGAAAACTGTGAATCTGGCATCTGGCCCAGTCACCGCCCTTAACACGCATTTGTTTACAATTCTCGGCATGAATGTAGTACTAACCACTGAAGAGCTGCAACACTATTTTTTTTTTTTTATTATCACACTGGCCAATTCCCACCAAGGCAGGGTGGCCCGAAAAAGAAAAACTTTCACCATCATTCACTCCATCACTGTCTTGCCAGAAGGGTGCTTTACACTACAGTTTTTAAACTGCAACATTAACACCCCTCCTTCAGAGTGCAGGCACTGTACTTCCCATCTCCAGGACTCAAGTCCGGCCTGCCGGTTTCCCCGAACCCCTTCATAAATGTTACTTTGCTCACACTCCAACAGCACGTCAAGTATTAAAAACCATTTGTCTCCATTCACTCCTATCAAACACGCTCATGCATGCCTGCTGGAAGTCCAAGCCCCTCGCACACAAAACCTCCTTTACCCCCTCCCTCCAACCTTTCCTAGGCCGACCCCTACCCCGCCTTCCTTCCACTACAGACTGATACACTCTTGAAGTCACTCTGTTTCGCTCCATTCTCTCTACATGTCCAAACCACCTCAACAACCCTTCCTCAGCCCTCTGGACAACAGTTTTGGTAATCCCGCACCTCCTCCTAACTTCCAAACTACGAATTCTCTGCATTATATTCACACCACAAATTGCCCTCAAACATGACATCTCCACTGCCTCCAGCCTTCTCCTCGCTGCAACATTCATCACCCATGCTTCACACCCATATAAGAGCGTTGGTAAACCTATACTCTCATACATTCCCCTCATTGCCTCCAAAGACAAAGTTCTTTGTCTCCACAGACTCCTAAATGCACCACTCACCCTTTTCCCCTCATTTATTATTATCACGTCCACTCCCAAATATCTGAATACATTCACTTCCTCCATGCTCTCTCCATCCAATCTGATATCCAATCTTTCATCACCTAATCTTTTTGTTATCCTCATAACCTTACTCTTTCCTGTATTCACTTTTAATTTTCTTCTTTTGCACACCTTACCAAATTCATCCACCAATCTCTGCAACTTCTCTTCAGAATCTTCCAAGAGCACAGTGTCATCAGCAAAGAGCAACTGTGACAACTCCCACTTTATGTGTGATTCTTTATCTTTTAACTCCACGCCTCTTGCCAAGACCCTCGCATTTACTTCTCTTACAACCCCATCTATAAATATATTAAATAACCATGGTGACATCACACATCCTTGTCTAAGGCCTACTTTTACTGGGAAATAATTTCCCTCTTTCCTACATACTCTAACTTGAGCCTCACTATCCTCGTAAAAACTCTTCACTGCTTTCAGTAACCTACCTCCTACACCATACACCTGCAACATCTGCCACATTGCCCCCCTATCCACCCTGTCATACACCTTTTCTAAATCCATAAATGCCACAAAGACCTCTTTAGCCTTATCTAAATACTGTTCACTTATATGTTTCACTGTAAACACCTAGTCCACACACCCCCTACCTTTCCTAAAGCCTCCTTGTTCATCTGCTATCCTATTCTCCGTCTTACTCTTAATTCTTTCAATAATAACTCTACCATACACTTTACCAGGTATACTCAACAGACTTATCCCCCTAAATTTCTGCACTCTCTTTTGTCCCCTTTGCCTTTATACAAAGGAACTATGCATGCTCTCTGCCAATCCCTAGGTACCTTACCTTCTACCATACATTTATTAAATAATTGCACCAACCACTCCAAAACTATATCCCCACCTGCTTTTAACATTTCTATCTTTATCCCATCAATCCCGGCTGCCTTACCCCCTTTCATTTTACCTACTGCCTCACGAACTTCCCCCACACTCACAACTGGCTCTTCCTCACTCCTACAAGATGTTATTCCTCCTTGCCCTATACACGAAATCACAGCTTCCCTATCTTCATCAACATTTAACAATTCCTCAAAATATTCCCTCCATCTTCCCAATACCTCTAACTCTCCATTTAATAACTCTCATCTCCTATTTTTAACTGACAAATCCATTTGTTCTCTAGGCTTCCTTAACTTGTTAATCTCACTCCAAAACTTTTTCTTATTTTCAACAAAATTTGTTAATAACATCTCACCCACTCTCTCATTTGCTCTCTTTTTACATTGCTTCACCACTCTCTTTACCTCTCTCTTTTTCTCCATATACTCTTCCCTCCTTGCATCACTTCTACTTTGTAAAAACTTCTCATATGCTAACTTTTTCTCCCTTACAACTCTCTTTACATCATCATTCCACCAATCGCTCCTCTTCCCTCCTGCACCCACTTTCCTGTAACCACAAACTTCTGCTGAACACTCTAACACTACATTTTAAACCTACCCCATACCTCTTCGACCCCATTGCATATGCTCTCGTTAGCCCATCTATCCTCCAATAGCTGTTTATATCTTACCCTAACTGCCTCCTCTTTTAGTTTATAAACCTTCACCTCTCTCTTCCCTGATGCTTCTATTCTCCTTGTATCCCATCTACCTTTTACTCTCACTGTAGCTACAACTAGAAAGTGATCTGATATATCCGTGGCCACTATAAAAATGTACATCCTGAAGTCTACTCAACAGTCTTTTATCTACCAATACATAATCCAACAAACTACTGTCATTTTGCCCTACATCATATCTTGTATACTTATTTATCCTCTATTTCTTAAAATATGTATTACCCATAACTAAACCCCTTTCTATACCAAGTTCAATCAAAGGGCTCCCATTATCATTTACACCTGGCACCCCAAACTTACCTACCACACCCTCTCTAAAAGTTTCTCCTACTTTAGCATTCAGGTCCCCTACCACAATTACTCTCTCACTTGGTTCAAAGGCTCCTATACATTCACTTAACATCTCCCAAAATCTCTCTCTCTCCTCTACATTCCTCTCTTCTCCAGGTGCATACACGCTTATTATGACCCACTTTTCGCATCCAACCTTTACTTTAATCCACATAATTCTTGAATTTACACATTCATATTCTCTTTTTCCCTTCCATAACTGATCCTTCAACATTACTGCTACCCCTTCCTTTGCTCTAACTCTCTCAGATACTCCAGATTTAATCCCATTTATTTCCCCCCACCGAAACTCCCCTACCCCCTTCAGCTTTGTTTCGCTTAATGCCAGGACATCCAACTTCTTTTCATTCATAACATCAGCAATCATCTGTTTCTTGTCATCCGCACTACATCCACGCACATTCAAGCATCCCAGTTTTATAAAGTTTTTCTTCTTCTCTTTTTTAGTAAATGTCTACAGGAGAAGGGGTTACTAGCCCATTGCTCCCGGCATTTTAGTCTCCTCATACGACACGCATGGCTTATGGAGGAAAGATTCTTTTCCACTTCCCCATGGACAATAGAAGAAATAAAGAAGAACAAGAGCTATTTAGAAAAAGGAGAAAAACCTAGATATATGTATACATATATGCGTGTGCGTGTCTGTGAAGTGTGACCAAAGTGTAAGTAGGAGTAGCAAGATATCCCTGCTATCTAGAGTGTTTATGAGACAGGAAAAGAAACCAGCAATCCTACCATCATGCAAAACAGCTACAGGTTTCTGTTTCACAGTCATCTGGCAGAACGGTAGTACTTCCCTGGGTGGTTGCTGTCTACGAACCTACTACTACACTATTGTTATTCTATATAAATTGATTTTTTTAGTATTTTTGGATGGCTGAAACTGATTAATTGGACTTACACTATTTCTTATGGGAAATATTACTTCGGTTTTCAGCCATTTCAGATTTAGGCCAACATTCTTGAACGGATTAATCACGAAAACCGGGGGTCGACTGTAAAAATAAAATAAAAATAATGAAAACAATAAAAAATTTTGGAGTGAGATGAACAAGTTAAGAAAGCCTAGGGAACAAATGGAATTATCAGTTAAAAGCACAGTAGGGGAGTTAGTACAGTGGACCCCCGGATTAAGACATCATTGGATTAAGTAACATTTTTGCATCAAAATATTGGTTCGGTTAATGACACCAAACTCGGTTAAAGTCATTCATCCTGAACGTGTCCACATACTGTGAGCGGCCAGGCCACTCCATGTACAGCCAGTGTGCCATTGTTTATAAGCCACTGAGGACGATTCCACGCGTACATATGATACATTTTGTATTATTCCATTGTTTTTAGTGCTTGTAACTGCTAAATAAGCCACCATGGGCCCAAAGACAGTTTCTAGTGCCAGCCCTTTGGTAAAGAGGGTGAGAAACACTATAGAATTCAAGAAAGAGATCATCGCAAAATACGAAAGTGGAGCGAGTGTCTCCGAGCTGGCCAGGATGTATGTACAGGTATAACAAACTCCATACAACCATCACTACTATCTTGGCCAAGAAAAAGGCAATCAAGGCAGCTGTTGTTGCAAAAGGTGCAAATATGCTTACAAAACAGAGATCGCAAATACTCGAAGATGTGGAGAGACTGTTGTTGATGT